GACCTTCAACACATCCTCCCCTGGGTCACCTCCCCAGTCACGACGCTGATGATACATTAACAAACCCACACCCTGGCAACCTCAACCCGGCCACCTGTTCCCAAGCACATGGGAATGCGGTGGTGGGACCATCTCCTGCTTGTGCTGCGGGTACACCAATGACTTCCTGTGCAGCTGGGTTGATGCCAACCATCTGTTAGGGCTGAGCGGGCTGGTACTAATTATCACGTGGGAACAGGATCGTGATCATGGAGCTGGCAGCACCAGCTATTTGCTTGCTCAAGACCCAGGGCAGCGTTCCTCTGCTCTGGTGGCTTCCCAGTGCCACATTCAGCGGGAAGAGTTGTTAAAGTCACTATGAAAGGGTAATCTATTACAAATTACTCATTAATGCAACTGAAAAATCAGTGACATATTACTGGTTATGCCTGTGTCACGCTAGCTCGGCAGCAAGACTCAGTTCACACTGCTGATTTGTGTTTTTGTGCTTATTATAGCAACTCTCGACACAACTCACACGTACACAACTTCTTTTCTCCTCTTTGCCCACATGAGCACGTGGGCTTTGGCTTTGCTGTGCTTGAGGGCACGTGTGCTGCCTCCCGAGTAGTCAAACTGTTTTAACACCTTGCAACTAAATACCCAGTTGCAAATTTGAGACCATTTTGCATCCGGTTTTGGCAGGTACTGGGACGTGCTGAGCCTTCCGGCTGTGCCCAGCGGCCATCTGTGCTGGTAACGCTCGGTGGTTTTTGGAAAGTACCCTCAGCAGCCGAATCACCAGGCTTTCCCACCTCCGCCGGCAGCGGGTGGGGGCACAGCCAACTCTACAGGTAAGATCTGCTCTGTCCTGCTCTCATCTGAGCCCACTTCCAAAACCTCCACCACCACAGCATGAATTGCTGGAAGGCCTCTTTGCTGGCTGCAGCCCCTTGGCTCTCCTCCAGAAACAGAAAAAGCTCTAATCATCTTCCTACTAGTTTGGCACCATCAGAGTGTTATTGCTGCTTCTGCATGAGGGGCTTTGTCCGTGGTGGATATTCCCGCTTTAAGCACTCTCATTAAGGAGCCAGGACTTTGTGCAAGATCCTCATGCGCAGCTCCAGAGCCCATGTCCAACACCAGTCTCAGGATGGGCACAGCTGACCAGCGACAAGTCATGGGAACAGTTAGTGTTCCCTATATATTCAGCCCTCCATTTATTCACCTCAGCGATGAGTCTTGGATACAAAAGAATTACGAGAAACGAGGCAAGAACAGGGAGGTAGTTAACTAACGAAGCCGGGAAGGAAACGGAAAGCACAGGTCAGGAGATCAGAAAAGCAAACACAGTGGGAGCAAAGAAGCAGCTGCCCAAAGGAGTTCATTCGGGAGTCCTGCACCAGGGTCACAGTAAAAGCTGCAAGAAATTTGCAAAGTTTGGAGCAACAAACAGCTGAACACGCAGCAGAAGTGGGGAGAGAAGAAAGCTCAACTTTTGCATTTATACTCATGGCCACAGGGCAATTGTGGCTCCGTGCCACCAGGCAGGTGGAGGCCACATCTGTCTCAGAACAAGGGGTGGCCAGCAGGCAGAACGATTGGGTAAGATTCAGTAAAAGGCTAAAACTGTCACAAAACCCAAGAAAACTGGAAGACAAGAGCTCCAGAGAAGCCAACCACCAAGATATATGTATCAACACATCAATGACAAAAAAACATCGGAAATGTGAGGAAAAAAGAGAGGTAACAGAAAGGGACACAGTGCAGACCAAGAGGTGGCCCAAAGTGGTTTATTTAGGTGATGACCTAACTGGCATCTGGAGCTGGACATCCCTCTGCAAGACCAAACCTTCAGGGTTTCACCGCAGGATGCAGCTACACGCCTTTTATCATCGGAGTCAGATTGTTCCTCCGCGGGGAGCAGGAAAGCTCCGCTCTCCAGCTTTGCAATGAGCCACTTCCTTTTTTGTCTTTTTTTAGGATCAGAATTTCTTTTCTCTTCCTCCTCCACCTCAAAAAAGCGGATATTTAATAATTTGGATCGGTTTGGAAGAGTTTGCTATCATGAAGCGATGGGTGGTAGCGGTGCTGCACCTAGTGACATCACTGTCAGTCTGGCCAAGTCTTCATCCCGTCAGGGCTATTCAGTAAAACACAACTAATTATTCTGCCAGATCCTCGACCAGATGACAAATTGATTCACAGTACTAACTAACAGAAGGGAAGGAGGAGAAATTGCACCATTTCCTATGACTGAAACTACATTAACCCGTTACCCCAAGGAAAACTTTGTCACAAGTTTTTACTGCGGCGGTTGAGCTATACGCCACACGGCTCCCGTACCAGGAGACCCCGGCGTGGTGCTATGAAAGTTCATACGCAGAACACAGCTTGCATTTGATATCCATCAGCATTCAGAGGAGAAAGGTCTTTTATCAGAACATCTGCAGAGTATCTCATATATATGTCAGAGGACCTAAAGCTGTTATCAGAAACCGCTAATTAAAACTTCACAAAATCAAATACCTGTTTTTCTAAGCTGACCTGAGGACGCTGAAAACTAAAAGTAACACAAGGGAAACCGCTGGAAATGAAAGCTTTTACTCAATCTGTCAGTCAGCTCACAAAGCAAACTTTTCCTAGACACTGCAAGAAGTCCATAATTACATCATGGCAAGGGCACACCAGTATGTTGCTTAGTCACTTCCAGGAAGACGACTATCAGAAAGCCATTCTTAATAGCATCACTGCCCGGCAATGCGGGCTCCCTTGCTCACTGCAGGGTGGGTACTTTAGATTTCCCTCACTTGAATTTCCTCTTTGAGCAAGTTTCGGTCCCTGCCAGAAGCCTGCAATGCAAACACACCTTTTCACACGTTCCTCTGACAAAAGGTTGGATCCACTCAACACTCTACAGCTATAACAAACTCCCAAACTCTCACAAAACCATTCTTCTCTGGTAGGAGTGACAGATGCGCCCCATTCAAAGCAGTGATTGCTCCTAGATTTTGTGTTTTCCCCTCTGCTCCAAAGACACGTTAGATACCTTCTCTCCGCCAGACATAACCCTGGGTGGGGAATGTCAAGGTTCAGCATTGCCCAAGCTGTCCTGCACTTGCTCTTTAAATGATGTGACCAAGACTTGTTCACCAAATGCATATGCTCAAAGCATCATTCCCTTTCAAAAACTTGGACAACAGTAAAAGAGCGAGATGGAGGGGAAGAGGACAGGAGAACAAGTAAGAATGTCACACCTATCTGGAACCCTTAAGCCTGTATTTGAGAGGTGAGACCTCCTCCCTCCACTACACGAAGCAACTGAGAAGAGCAAGGAAACAAAGACAAGCAAGAGGTAAAGCAGGTTGGAAAAGAAGAGAAAGAGATATACACCACATACATAACATCATGGATGGAGTATTATTCTTGTGAATCATGGTCCAGAAGAATAATATCCTAAATGGAAGCTACGACACAGTGGGGTAAAACACAGCAGACTGTTATAACTGCACAGAGTAAAGTCCACAAGCGAGCGTCAGAGCCCTCCCAGCTACCTTTGATTCAATGAGTCCTGTGATCTGCTGCTCCGTTCCTCCAAGGGCTACTGATGCAATGTGCCAGATTCCGTGTTTCTTTCCAACTGTTCTGAGTCTCCTGCATCTGATCTCAAAGAAGGGAGCAGAAACAGCTGGAAGAGAGAAACCAGAATGGCATAGTCCAGCAGCAACCCTTGGAAGAACAAACAACGACAGCCTTGTGAGAGGCACCAATGTCCCCCAGCACGTATGTTTGCATGCGGACACGTATCCACATGTCTTCTAGAAGAAACACACGTCGCTAGTGCATCAGCTCTGGCTGGTCACAGAGCACCAGAGCATCTCCTGACTTAGCGTGATCAGCGCAAGCTGAACAGACCGAGACAGCTCAACAGCACGGCCGTGATCCACAGTCACCAGTGCCAAATGAGTCACGCGTGCTAAACGCAGTCTAAGCTTGGCACCACGCTGCTCCTCCAGTGGTACCTCTACTCCCTGAGCAACTCCACCTACTTTGCAGCACACGAGCAGCTTGCAGCCCGCGCAAGGGAAGCCAGTCAAGGTCTACTCTGTTTAGGCTTGCTTTAAAGCTCCTGTAGATCTAGCTGCAGGTCAAAGAAGGAGGGTAAAACAGCAGGTGAAACAGGAGACTGGAGGAATAAGCTTCTTCAGAGAGAACTTAGGTATTTGTGCCAAAAGAGAGGATTAGTTGGGAAAATCAGGAAGTCAACGAAGCAGAGAGCAGCAGGAGGCCACTGCAGATAATAGGGACAGTAGGAGCAATGCTATTGCTCACCAAGGCACGTGAAGGGGAGATAAAAAGGCTTATGCTCTTTCATATGTGCAAAGACTTGAAAGAGGGAGTGAGAAGGTCAGGGAGATGGTGCTGGTGGAGGAAGGGCCATGAGGAAAAAAAAAAGCCTTTGAAAATGAACCATGGAAAAGTGATTAATAAGGGAAGAACTGTCAGGGTTGGTGTTAGGAACTTCTCATTTCCACTAGAAAGAAATAAGACATTGCAACTCACAACCAGATTCGGGGAGGGAAGACCAGGGGCACAGCAAGACGAAGGATGTCATTTAAAGGACAGAAACAGAATTTCAGACAGAGAGCAAATCAGTTTAGGATGGTTAGGAATTACACACAGGAGAGGACAGAAAGCAAGTTTAACGGCTCATGGGACGTTTAAGGCAAGACAGCCCAAAGGATCTCTTGCCAGCCTTACTGCAAGGATGAAACGGAAACCATAACATTTTTCCTGACCACAGCTTCCTTTTAACTGATTACTAGAAAGCAGAGGCGCACCACGTCTCTCCAGGACAGCAGTACCACCGCAGGCCCAGTCCCAGCACATGCAGTACCGTTTCTAGAGGGGTCCCTCAACTCCGCATCCCTTCTGCCCCACACAAACCTACTGGATTTTTACCACAAATTAGTTCCCTTTTGTAAGTGCCAAGTCATCAAGTGCAGTAACAAAACGAGTACCTGGCGTATCGCAAGTCTGCCTGTTCCCTGAAGAGTTGGTTGGAGGTGTCCGGTGTCGGTAGACTAGATGTGGTTTATTGTGCTCTTCTTCATATTCCTGTTCTTCGAGCGATAGCAGCGGCTCTACGAAGTAGTCCCCATCGTCAGACTTGAACGTGCCTAGCTGAGAGGGACCAGAGAGGAACAGGTGGTCAGGTTTGGGTAACGACAAACCATGGAGCAGGACTACCCAATAAAATGGGCGGTTAACGAAGGAGGTGCACAAATGCCTGGTTCTGCAGCGACCTCTGCGAAGGTATGGGCTGGAGCTACAACTCCCATCACACTCCATTCACCCACACCAGGCTGCACTGCTTCTTGCAGCCATCCCACTGGAACTTGTGGAAAGCAAATTACTCATGTGGGCAGACAGCATGAGAGAAGCGTGTCTGTCAGTCCCTGTCCCTATGCCAGTGACGTTTACCAAGCCACCCTGGCCCAAGGAGAGATGATGCAGCAGCATGCAGGAGGCCTCACTGCAGCCTCATCCTGTTGTGCTGGTTTTCATACAGCAGCTCTCCTTGAGACAGGCTTAAACCCACGTGTAAGGACCAGAGGGAGATGTTCAGCCAGTGAAATCCCTGCTTATGAGAAGACACTAATGCTCCTAGCTGCACGTAACCGTGAACGTAGGGATTTGGCAGGTAGATAAAAGATATCCAAGACAAAGAAAAAAAAAAAATCCTGCAGCCATCCTAGACTGGGATGCATGACCAGTAACTGGGAGGATGGCCTGCCCAGCCACTCACACATGCATTGGCCTGGGTGAACACTCACCCAGGGGAGCTCCTGCACCAGATGGCGCCCAGCAGAGATCTTCCAGGGGAGCACCTGGGACAGGAACCCCGAGGTGCAGGAAGGCACCTGGGCAGCTGGAAGGGTCAGCCCTGCTGGAAGCTTCTGCTCATCCCTCTGCCAACGTCCCCCCACACAGAAGGATGCCCACCTTCAGCTCTCCTCGGGCAACGGCCCTGCGCCGGGGTGCAGGGAGCCCCAGTCACCCCTTTGCAGCCCTTGTCGGCACCCCGGGGACACGAGGGTGTCTCTGCCCGGGTTCTGCGCCCGCTGATCTCCCCTCGGGGAGGCGCTGGGTGGCAGCTTT